AACTATGTCATCAAAGAGCATTATAATTACACGGGAAAGCTAAACGAGAACTCGGACAGTGGAATAAAAGTGACGTCGGTGGTTTTTATCATCATTTGCTGCTTTATAATCTTAGAGAACATTTTTGTCTTGCTCACCATCTGGAAAACCAAGAAGTTTCACAGACCCATGTACTATTTCATCGGGAACTTGGCTCTTTCAGACTTGCTGGCTGGCGTGGCTTACACGGCCAACCTCCTGCTGTCCGGACACAAAACCTACAGCCTCACCCCCTCCCAGTGGTTTGTGAGAGAAGGCAGCATGTTCGTTGCCTTGTCGGCTTCTGTGTTCAGCTTGTTGGCCATCGCCATCGAGAGATACATCACCATGCTGAAGATGAAGCTCCACAACGGCAGCAACAGCTTCCGCTCCTTCTTGCTGATCAGCGCCTGCTGGGTGATCTCCGTGATACTGGGGGGGCTCCCGATCATGGGCTGGAACTGCATCAGCCTCTTGTCCAACTGCTCCACCGTGCTGCCTCTCTACCACAAGCACTATATTCTCTTTTGCACCACCGTTTTCACCGGCCTGTTGCTATCGATCGTCGTCCTCTATTGCAGGATCTACTCCATGGTGAGGACTAGGAGCCGCAGGCTGACGTTTCGCAAAAACATTACCAAAGCTACTAGGAGCTCGGAGAAGTCGCTGGCCTTGCTCAAGACGGTGATCATAGTCCTGAGTGCCTTCATCGCCTGCTGGGCTCCCTTGTTCATCCTGCTTTTACTGGATGTGGGGTGTAAAGTGAAGACCTGCCCGATCCTCTATAAGGCAGAATATTTCTTAGTACTGGCCGTGCTCAATTCAGCCACGAACCCTATCATCTACACCCTGACGAACAAAGAGATGCGGAGGGCTTTCATCAAGATTCTGTGCTGCTGCAAATGTCCCCCGGCAGATTCTGGGACCAAATTCAAGAGGCCGATCATCGGGGGGATGGAGTTCAGCCGGAGTAAGTCTGACAACTCCTCCCACCCACAGAAGGAGGAAGGTGACCATCCTGAAACCATCATGTCTTCGGGCAATGTTACCTCATCTTCTTAGGAGTAAGCGTGGGGGTGTCTTTCAGAGCCCTCCTCCGAAATCGGGGAGCCGAGACGCCTCCTGCTCACGGCGGCAGGCTTGGGCTGAGTGAGCAGGTAGCATTAGTTCTAACGAGGCAAACGGTGCGCTGGCGAGGCTGGAGTTCAAGAAACGGGACAGACTGTTCTGGCTTGAAAAATCTTTTTCCCTGGAGCATGTTTTGTCTTTGCACTGAGGCAGCTCGGGATTGTCAGGCGCATTCATATCCTGAAATCTCCTTAGTAACTCTGAAAGACTGATGCCTTGGTGAAATGATGCCTGGTGTGTGAGAGAGAAAGGGAGAGGGGGAGGAGGGAGAGGGAGAATGAATCTTTTTTTTTTTTTTTTTTTTTCCCTGTGAGAAGAATGTGAAGTTATTTCTCCTTTACTTGCAGCAAACCACTGACACAAAGATCTTTCTGTACCGAGTTTAGTGCTGGCTCTGGTATAGTTGGTCAGAAGCGTTTGTTTAGCACATAACAAGGAAAGAGATCACGCAAATATAATTTAGACCACATACGACCATAATTTGGCATCACTTTCCAGAGTTTTAAGTTAAGTCGTAAGGTTTTATTTGCAGAGTCCAAAGCTGTCGGGGCTTTATTTAGCAAAACCACGGCTGTGAATTTTTGCCGCCGGTCCGTGTTACGTTTGAAGCCCACGAGCCAGGCTCTGCAGTTACTTTGACCTGCCCGATTCCGTTGACTGCATCAGATTTTATGGAGTAGCTCAGAGCAGCAGTTGGTTCCATACGTCGATTGCCATGTTATTCTATAGCATTAAAGAAACTGCGTTATCAGGACAAATGCAAGGTAGAACTAAAGGTCATTTCTCTTTAAGATGACTGGAGGTAAATCTGGGAGTATAAGATACTATTGCCGACAGCAGGTTTTTTGCCTAAGTAAGAAGAGTTAAAAACTGAAGGGGCATTTCAGTGTCAGGTTCCTAATCTTTCCAAAGGTAAAGATCGGTCGGAAAAATCTGAAAAGAATACCTTGGAGTTTCAGAAAAATAAAAGGGAAGTTGAAGCGAAATGACTATAGGTAAATGCACTTCCGTAACAAGATGCAATACATTTTGGCACATTGTATTAATGTCTATAATTTCAGCAAACATGTCTGTATTTTATCAGTTCATGGAAGAAGCACCTGTCATTAAATTGAATGTATTTGTTTCACAGCGTCATTCTTACTCCTCTATTTTTCTAATCTGTGCTAATGGGGTTGAATGTGTACAATGTAAATAAGTTAATAAGAATGCAGGAGTCTTCATGCACCTAGAGTGTTCCTATAACAAAAGTGGTATATCTGGGATAGCTGAGAGCAATTGACTGATCTACAGTTATTGGCAATTCCTAGAAGTGGTATTTTGTAAAGAAAATTTATTGCCTTTGTAGTAAAATTTCCAGTGCAATTAAACTGATTTTTTTTTTTTCCTGGTTTAAAAAATAGTTATTTAAAATGTTTCTGACTTTTATTGTTCAATTTGCACATAGCTTTATTGACTTCTAAACATTAATAAACTGATTTTTTTAAAGATTCTGTTATCAGATTACTCGTAGTTTTGTACCGTTGTGGGGGTTTCATGCCAGGTGTGGTTTCTTGTTGACAGAAGGCAGCGAAAGAATTCCTTGATTTCGGTACACGCTGGGATTAAGCCAGTTAAGCCAATTACGCGGGGACGCAAGATGCATAATGCCACTTACAGGATTGTGTAAAATCCAAAATGAACGCTAGAATGTAATTTTTCATCAGCACATGCTGTATCGATGAAATGCCGTTAAAAGAATCTCTCCAGTAGCCACTTGTCTCCAACAGCTAATGAAGCACAAACGGAAGCAAAACCAGATGCCTGCCAGTTTTACCATGACTGCCTAGAGCAGAATAAGTGAAATAATCCACTTATATGGCTAATATAAGCCGTAAGTTTAATTCTTGGCTTATTGCAAACATCAGTGGAAGGTTAGGAAATGTAGAACGGTGGCCTCAGCTACGTAAGCGCCGCAGCTCCACTGGCTCCACCAGCAAAGACTGTGGCAGCATAGTTGAATAGGTTCTGCGTTTCTTCTTCCAAAGGCTTGACTTCCATTTCCTCTCTCGCGGCCGTTCCCTCTCGGTATTACTTTTAAGTTCCATGGTGTTCATACAGGATACAGTTGGAGCGTGAAGATAAACCTCACCTTCTCGTACTGTATGTCATTGCTGTGCAAGGTTTACTGTGGGAAACGAGAGCCTACTCACCGAGGAAGGCTCTGGGTCATAACCTTACTTCCTGAAGGAAATTCCAAAAATGCCCCGAAGACAAAAGAGTGGAAACGGGCTGGAATTTCTCTCCATCTGTCTGCCTGTACGGAAGGAATGATTTCATGTGTGCTCACTTCCTAGGCTTTTAATTAGTGACCTGAGCAGGGCTGGAAAAAATGTCAAATCTGTATTTGCGCACAAGATAAAGTCTCCCTTGGCTCAGGCCTTCATTTGGGCAGGGATGGTTCACGCCAGGTGCTGACAGTCATGAGGGGAAGCGCTGCTCCGTCCCAGGGATAAAGTCATAGAATCATAGAATCGTTGAGGTTGGAAAAGCCCTTTAAGATCATCCAGTCCAACCATTAACCTAACACTACCTAGTCCACACTAAACCAGTTAAGGGGAGAGTAGCAATTTCATGTTTCCTGGCTTGGTGGCTGGATTATTTATAATGAAAGTAAAAACTAGGAATCATTAAGATTGGATTGGAAGTCACTTCTCTGCAGAGCACCAGAAAGTATATAAACCACGGAAGTCCAAGTTAAGCCCTTGACGTGCCAGCCGTGAGGCATAAAGGCAGTGCACGGGGACGAGGCAACGTACGGGGGCGTCTGAATTTGCAGCAGCGTTTTTGTCCGAAGGATGAGGGCCCTTCCGCTCTTGAAGCATTATGGGCATTAAGGTTATTTGTCCCGCATGTGTCCGCGATCCTGTGACAAGGGACGAGCTATGTCACAGCACGGCGGTGTCACTGGCCCCTCCTGGCTACCACTGGCCTTTGCGTATTCCTCGCAGATAGCCCCCAGGTGAGTCACTTCCCTTCGCCTCGCCGTTGTTTCTGTATCCCTCCCTTATCTCTCTCGCCTAATTGCGCCGTGGGCCTTTGCGGAAAATGCCCGTTTCCCCTATGGAGGTGACAGTGTGATGGGAGCCCGGTTTTGGTAGGGAACTCAAAGCCCTACGTAATTCACGCAGTAAAAGAAATGCAAACAGAGCGTGGCACGGGGCCATGGGAAGCATTTCCTATGCTCCCGATCAAGATGACCGAAATCTGTTTCCTCCATAGACAGGCCACATCTATGCATGTAGACAAGATTCAGACAGGGAACAATAACTGTAATAAAATAAAAACAATAATAAAAGTAAGGGTTCCTGCTGGGAAAAAAAATTAAAAGGCCATTTGTACTGCTCTTTGCTTCCTACGGGGAGCTCTGCAGCTCCCTGGGCATGGACGCGCGTTACCATAGACCACAGGCTAGGCCAGATGCGCAGCGCAGAGTTTTGAAGCGTGCAATGTAGAAAGCACCCTTCCCAGGCCCCGGGCTGCCTTCTGTACGCACCGAAAGGGCGTGCAGCTTTGTCCTCTTCTTGGCCACGGGACAAATGGGCAGAGAAAATGAACCGAGAACTGAAAAGGTGCATTATACCGACCGTCTACGTGAAACAAAATAGCCTGAATTATCCCGAGTAACCTGGCCCTTTGATGTATACGCTTTCTCCTAGCTGTTCTTCCACTGTAAGGAATAGAACAGGGGTCGAAAATGATCGTGCAAGCTGTCTGTTGCTCCCCCAGCAGCTGCGTGAGACCCAGGTATAGCAGGGTGCGCACTGGGTGCCGGAGGGGCTGCAGCCGGAATGCCCGATGGGCAGCTCAGCGCGAGCAACCCTTGGGCTTGCTGTACAAGGCAGGCGGCCAGGGCCGAAACTAGGGGACATCAAAACGTAAAAATACTGTTATCCATCCTGTTCTTACTCTGTCAGCTGAGAAATACAGGGATTGCCCAACGGTAACATTTCCTGATTCCTAATTTGGCCTGGAAGGTCTCAATGCTGATTGCGTTTTGTACGGGCTGAGGCATTATCAGTTGTTGTAAAAAGGGTCAGATTGACAAAGCGTCCAAAAATGTGGATATGCGGACCAGAGCTAAGTAACGTCTCAGCTCTGAAATGCTGGAAATTCCCCAAGGACAGGCTTTGTCATTTATGGGGTTCTAAAATTCCCCAGGAAAACATCTACTGTATTTCAAGAATTCCCCATACTGTTTTTCCTGGAAAACGAGTTGAATCAAACTACAATTGAACCTTCAAGGATTTAAGAAGCAAACAAACAAACAAAATCCATCTAAATTCAGTTCCTATAATCTGCTTTCGCAAACTTTTCTAATCTCGCCTTTGCATTTACAGATGGAAAGAGTTTGCTCATCCTCTATCGTCTAATTTATTCTGATGGAACCTTACTTCTTTTTACACAGCCTGCAAGAATCACGTCGGGTCAAGAAATCGCCCTTCAATTACTCTGTGCACAGGATTTTCTATGATAATTAACAGTAATCAAATTCGCTCTGCACACAGGGGCTAGATATGAGAACCTGTGGTACAGCTAACTTGTTCCAGTACAAGTTTTCTACTGAAATAAGAAGTGTCTAGAGAGATCTGAAACTCGAGCATCTAACACAAATTAAGATACTAAAACCAATAAATTGTTTTTTGGGGAAGCTGGGAACATAATGAGCGTAGACTTATGGGATCCACTGGAGAGAATTACAACATTAAGGACCCCCTCCCCTGTGGGAACAGGGTGACGCATTCCTTGCTCATCCACAAATTCCGAGAGATGTTGCGTCAAAGCGGCAGTTTCCAAACAACCTCGCCCCCCCCAAGCAAAGCTCTGCACGGCCAGATCTCTTACCCTACCGAAAAATCTTATACGGGAGTGAAGCGGGAACCATTTCCTTGCACCCGGACCCTCCGTGCTACCTTCACGGGACAAAAAGGCAGGAAATCCCATCAGCCACACCCAGGAATGCTCTGGCATGGAAAAGTCCTAATAAAGCAGAGCTGACAAAGCTCCGTCAACCCGCTGTGAACCTTCCACCAAGCCTGCTTTAGCAGTCGCGTAATGGAAACCTGAGACAAAGGCCAGTATTTATTTTGAGCGTATGTGAACGATTGCTCGGAGAAGACCTGTTTTTAAATACACGGTACAATAACTAGACATCAAAACGGCTCATCAGAAACGCCTGTAACCAAAGCCCCATTAAAT